TGTACTTTAGTCTATGCAAAAATAGTCCAAACACTGGAAAACAGGTAAAAATTTCACGCACCAGCGCAAGAAAGTTGAATTCAAAACCTTGAAGGATGAATATTTTTCCGTGATTCCCGAGCTAGTAGTTTACCCGCCAAAATTTTCACAAGGCCGTAGGTGGTACCCAAGAGCGCGAGGAAGCTGAATTTGAATGGGCAAGTTGAGCGGGGGCAGGGGTGATTCCCCTAAAATTTCAGCCTTCTAGACTCCGTGGTTCCCGAGATAACTTGCCCGTAAAAAACTTTCACGGGGCTGTACGCGTTACCTGCGGGTACGGGGAAGCTGAATTTAAATTTGCAGGGTCACACGTGGGTGGGGAACGTTCCCCTAAATTTGCAGCTTCGTAGCTTTCGTGGTTCTCAAGTTGAAAGTTGCGGACAAGTTGCTGTGGACATACACACACAGGCAACCCAGTGACAATATGCGTTTTGTACTGCTGTTACACAGCACAAAACGCCTAAAAAATGTAGCTCATTTTAGGATGTCAGATTTGGAAGATCGTGATGCGACATCGTCGCCCACCAAGCGTGGTCACAAGCGCACCGAAACGCTTCCCGCAATGGCATTTGATCTCGATGCGCTACTGGCTTCACCGTTTCCGCAGAGCGAAGCGCTGCAGCGTCGCGAACCACAAGTCAAATTTTCCAGCGTGGATAATGTGGCCGAACTGCGCAACGATCTGCAGATGCTGAAAGCGCAAAATCAGGCACTGGTGGAACAGCTTAATAAATTGCAAGTAAGCTTTGCTAGTGAAGTAAGTTTTCAGCAATTGTATCTGTACTACGGCCGCCTTACACTTATCTCTTTTCTAGTTGAATCGGTATCAAAATCGTCCATGAGGAAGGGGAAACTGATAAATTTTGACTTAAGGAATGCAAAAATTGACCATACCTTGAAGAGCTGTTGTTTCATCGATCTCTGATGTCACGCCATCAATGCAGCTGGCAACTTCTCCATTTCGATCGATCCTGAGCCTGACGAGACCAGGTGGCACCATAAAGGCCACGATTGGATCTCGCCATCATGCTGAGGGCCTCCCCAGTGTTCGTTTCATCGTGCGTGGGTACCACTTCATTATCTGCTTCGTCCATCGGTTGTCTGACAAAAATTAACCATATCAACGTTTAAATTAGTTGAAAGACACCTATTGAATCAAAAGGCGGTAAAAACAGGCACATAAATGGGGAGTTTTGTTGTACCGCTAAAAATTTACGGCGACAAAATAAGAAAGGGCATAATTTTGTGAAATTTACGAAAGCTGAGGTACTGTTGTGTACAATGCTGCTATTATTGGCATAAAAAATACCAGTACTTTCTGAGAGCCAATCTTTTTCGATGGTAATCATTAGGCATCATTAGACTGTTTGGTCATGCCTAACCAGCTACTGAACTAAGCACTTAACTCAAGAAACACAGGAAAGCACAAGGATCATGATTTGGGAGTATTTCTTTATGCTGTTAATAGAATCTTTATCAACAAGCAATCGTGTAGGTGCTTTCGTTAGCTAGCGAACTTGACGTCTTTCTTCCAAGCCAATTTGCAGGCATAATTTCGAACCTTAAATTTATAATTTTATGAAAAATCAGTTTTAGACTCAGAATAAATCGGAATTCAAATATTTCAACAATGCTTTGCACGAGGAAAGGATCAAAGCACAGGTACGTTGAAAATTGATCATCCAAGTAAGCAGCTCAGTAAATTCA